GTTTCACTTGTTTCTCATCGATCCAGAGAGAGATGTCTGACTCAGTCTTGGCGTTCACCGCTGTCTCACTTCTCGTATTGGTTTCCATCACTTGAACGCATCCAATCAGACATGTCATCCACACCACAACCACAACACCCAACACAACAACACATGCTTTTGGATCAAACATCATATCAAACAATCAAACCATTCAATTGTCAACAAATGTATTGTTATTGTTATTGTCGTCAACTCTGATCCCCGGCAGGCATACCCTCACACACTCTCTCCCTCTCCCAGCACTCTCTCATTCACTCTCTTTACTCTCCCATACCTTCACATACACTGCCCTTCGATGACATCTATTGTCACTTAAACACAATGTATACACATTTGAATCGCTTTTCAAAACATTTAATTCATATTATTGTGGATTAAGTTGTGATTGATTTGTGATTCAGTTGTGAATACAATACAAGTGATAGCCTTATAGTGTTTGAGTTGTATTGATTGAGCCGTCGATTGGATTCATTGTTGGACTCACTTATAGACTATTGAATGGAGAGAAGACTTGATTGCATTCCTGGTATGTATTCATGTATTGATGTTTGTGTCAAACATATACACAATTATCTGCCGTTTAGGTGATTGTCTGGCAAAGAGTGATGAGTGGACTACTGGTCTGAAGGGCACGTATTCACGCAATGGTTATATCTATGCATCGATCGCTGGAACCGTTAAGATTGTGCACAACGATGACAACACTGTTTGTTTGATATAAATGTAATGTTGCCATCAATTGATGTACATTTGTGTTTAGAAGACACTGGAAGTGCTGAGAGTGGACCGCAACAGACATTTAGTGCCACAAATGGACTCAATAGTGACGTGTCGGGTGCTGTCAATGACAGCAAGTGTGGTATGTATTGCCTAATAACCACAACAACCAATCCNAAATAATTTTACTGTAGAAATGCTGTACTTATAAGGAATACCTTATTATAATGTGCAGAATATTGAATACCTGGTGTATAATTGTTATACTGTTATACTGTACTAATACATCGAAAACATAAATATAATTTTAAGAATCAATATTGAATTTATATAAGAATGCATTGTTTTGATATATTATTCAATCAAATTAATGAGAGTTCACTGGAATTTAACATTTTTATTGAAAACACATTCAACCCAAACAATAAACATATTAATACAATGGTTTTATTATCAATTTTAATAATTATTAATGTTGTTTACTAATAATATTATTGATAAATTGTTATATTTAATGTAAGGTTATAATTATAATAACAATACTAGACATTACATTATTTGACATCAAATCCACTTTCCTTTACTCTAAATCAATAGAGTTTACAAAATAATTATGTTTTAGAATTTATTGAATCTTTTTTGATGAACAGAATGACAAACAAAATAGTATTTATATAACTAATGAAGAGCTAAAATGATTATATTATTGAGTAATTTAAACATTTTATTATAAATTTTACAATCAATAATATTTCATATTATTGCCAAATCCATCGTAACATTAATATTTATATTTTATAAATCCTATCATTTCTTATAAATATTATATAATTTAATCTTTTTTAAAATTTAAGTGTCTTATTAAAGTAAATAATGCGTTAATTAATAGTTTTAAACAAGAGGTTTTACCGTATTTTGTCATTTTATACCCCATGGGGTGTTATTTGAGGGGTCCCTGACTCGGATAGGCTTCAAAATAGCATGGGGTGTTATCTAGGTAGTACACCCCACCCCCTCTAAGAAACTCGCATAAAACCCTATGGCTTGATATCTCATTTTAATAGCAATGAATACAATTATTTATCAAATTCATTGATTAATTATACATTTCAATTAAAACATCTTTAGTCATCTGTATTAATGAATTAGTACTTTAAAACAATACTACATTTTAATTAAACTTTTATATTTGACTCGTTTTGAGTAAAAATAGCAGGGTAAAAACCCTAGCTTCTCACATAACACCCCATGGGTTATAAAGTGACGGAATACGGTACTAACTTTATTTGTTTCGAAAAGTACAATACAATTGAAGCCTAAAATTGATAGCAGATTATAGTCTAACCATTCATTTACTGCCACTTCACTGACGAATAAGAAAGTTATTTACAGTTAATAATCATGTATTTGTTTAGTTCTTTCAAATTGGGTTTTCTTCTGATAGAAACTGTTAATTGACATAATATTCTCTTTAATAAAGAATCTCATTATTATATAAATTATAAGTTATTTAAACATTTTCTCTTATTTATTATAAATTCTTTGTTTCAAAATATAATTTGCTTTATTTAAAATCACAATTTTCTATAATACTTTGGAGTATTTATAATTCGTTCAATTATTTATATATTTAATTTAATTCATATAATGTAAAATTTAATTTGAATAAAATTCTTATTTTACTAGTCATACAAAATTTGGTGTTTATAAACTCAAAATGATATACAATATGATCACGTTATAAGATGATTTATATATTTAATTTAATTCATATAATGTAAAATTTAATTTGAATAAAATTCTTATTTTACTAGTCATACAAAATTTGGTGTTTATAAACTCAAAATGATATACAATATGATCACGTTATAAGATGATTGGGAGGGCATCACCTTAAGGCAATCTGAATCAAACTTCTTTAAGATGTGCAAATTGCGTGTTGTCCCTAAATTAGCAGTCATCACAATAGTCACCTGGGTGACTATTACTACTGTAAAAGTATAAGAGTTTTTATGCTTGAGATGACTCTTACCCTAAATGCTTCTCCCGAATTGGGGCTAACGTGTCATAGCTTTGCTTTTGCAGACCTTGTGCTACCTTTAGTTCAAAATATTTGGATAATTCTTCAACCATATGAACACAAATATGTTAGACATGTTTGAAGTGATATTCTGTTAATTGAAGGCAAATAATAGAAAAGTTTACAAATATTATCTAATAATTTGTTTATTAAATGAAATCGTTTCATACAATTTAAGTTCATTTGTTTTATGTGTAAAATTTTTAGTTAAATGTACTTTAATATTGTAATTGATGTGCAATTCCTAATTACATAGTTCTTTAAGAGTGACTTTCTATCAATCCTTCAAATAAATATATAGTTCAGAAAAATGAGTTCATTTTGAAAATATATTTCAAAATAATTATAAATATTTTTGATTTGTTATCACATTTAAGTGTAGATTTGGCTTAACTTCTTGTGGAGGTTGTGATCATAAATTGACGTAATATTAAACTAACGATTCGTTTGTTATGACAAGAGATACGAATATCGTTTAAATCACAGCTCTTTCATATGAGTATAGATTTAATATAACAGATATATTAATCTATTAAATGTCAAACAAATTTCTTGCGCGGCTTCTTCTTCACAGTTGGCTTTGAATTGGAAGTCCTGTCAGTCTTGTCGTCGCTAATGGACTCGCATTGAGAACCAATGAACCCTCGCCTACACCGACACCGATTCACTCCAACACAACGGCTCCCATTGAGGCACGGGATCACACATTTCGAGTATTCACAGCTAATATATAATAACTGTTAATATGTTTTATACCAAAATAACCCCGACATTACATACCGGGGCCCGTAATAACCGCGACGACACCAACACATGTCCTTTTGAATACATTTACCACCGTTTAAGCACTTCTCACCACAAATACCGCCCTTAAATAGCATCACAAAACAATTTACACAAAATATAAGTCATCACTTATTTCATATAATTTACTTCACAATAAAAGCCTTGAAATCCTTGAGCACAGGAACAAACACCCGGAGCCACACAAGTCCCTCCATTCATACATTGCGGGTAACATAAGGCTTAGCAATAGAGTGATTATGGCATCTCATTATTAATTTATATTTCATTACATTTAATAATACCTGATTCACAGAACTTCCCCAAAAAACCTTCAAATATAAAACAATATAAAATTGTTAATTCAAACTATAAATGAGTGGGGAGAGAGAGAGGAGAGAGTGCTGGGAGAGGGAGAGAGTGTGTGAGGGTATGCCTGCCGGGGATCAGAGTTGACGACAATAACATGTTTGTGTCAAACATATACACAATTATCTGCCGTTTAGGTGATTGACTGGCAAAGAGTGATGAGTGGACTACTGGTCTGAAGGGCAGTGTATGTGAAGGTATGGGAGAGTGAAAGAGAGTGAATGAGAGAGAGAGAGAGAGAGAGAGAGAGAACCTGTAGGACATTCGCAGATCTTGTTTTGGTTGCATTTGCCATTTCCACACTTCTTATCGCATTCTGGATCAGGTGTTCTGTCGGCGCATTGTTTCTGTAGTTTGAGTCGCAGAGGAGTTCCCACGAGATTCTGATTGGTCTCGGAGTTGATTATTCTTAAGCCGATAGTGAAGGCAGCGATTCCACTGACATTTCCGACACATGGGATAAACACTTGAAATACTTTGGGTCTCTTCGGGACCTTTCCTTTGGAGTCAATGGAAAGGATGGGTTGACTGAGTATTTGGTGGTTATAAGAGACCAATTGGTCGAAGTCGTAGGCATAGGTGTTGTGGTCGCCTGACCTCCACGTCAGGTTCACGGACTGCACTTCAAACGGAAGTATTGGCAGATATTTGTCGAAATTGGGATCCAAGACATACGGCAATACATTTCCATCCAAAATGGCATAGATTTTGAGAGGAAATCCTGTTTAACGCAAACGCAAATCAATTAAGACATCATTCAGACAACACTTACCGCTGAAGAATTGTTTCACTTGTTTCTCATCGATCCAGAGAGAGATGTCTGACTCAGTCTTGGCGTTCACCGCTGTCTCACTTCTCGTATTGGTTTCCATCACTTGAACGCATCCAATCAGACATGTCATCCACACCACGACCACAACACCCAACACAACAACACATGCTTTTGGATCAAACATCATATCAAACAATCAAACCATTCAATTGTCAACAAATGTATTGTTATTGTTATTGTCGTCAACTCTGATCCCCGGTAGGCATACCCTCACACTCTCTCTCTCTCCCTCTCCCAGCACTCTCTCATTCACTCTCTTTCACTCTCCCATACCTTCACATACACTGCCCTTCGATGACATCTATTGTCACTTAAACCCAATGAATACACATTTGAATCGCTTTTCAAAACATTTAACAGTAATTCATATTATTGTGGATTAAGTTGTGATTGATTTGTGATTCAGTTGTGAATCCAATACAAGTGATAGCCTTATAGTGTTTGAGTTGTATTGATTGAGCCATCGATTGATTCATTGTTGGACTCACTTATAGACTATTGAATGGAGAGAAGACTTGATTGCATTCCTGGTATGTATTCATGTATTGATGTTTGTGTCAAACATATACACAATTATCTGCCGTTTAGGTGATTGTCTGGCAAAGAGTGATGAGTGGACTACTGGTCTGAAGGGCACGTATTCACGCAATGGTTATATCTATGCATCGATCGCTGGAACCGTTAAGATTGTGCACAACGATGACAACACTGTTTGTTTGATATAAATGTAATGTTGCCATCAATTGATGTATATTTGTGTTTAGAAGACACTGGAAGTGCTGAGAGTGGACCGCAACAGACATTTAGTGCCACAAATGGACTCAATAGTGACGTGTCGGGTGCTGTCAATGACAGAAAGTGTGGTATGTATTGCCTAATAACCACAACAACCAATCCTTGAATGTGTTTATGTTGTGATTTGAGGTGAAAGTGAGCATTCATTGCATCGAAGGACAGGTCTTGAAACAGCCGTTTAGAGCTTTGTTGAAGAAGGAGAACATCAGAGGAATGGAGACCGAGAAGACACAGATCTGTAATTCATTTAGACCTTCAGACATAATACTGGCAAAAGTGATTGGTTTTGGGGAGAATAACAGCTATTTGTTGAGTACCGCTCAAAACGAGTTGGGAGTTGTGGTCGCACTCAACCATTCAGGTGTTATATGAGCTAAACATAGAAAATTGGTTACAATTGTATGATTTGTTGATTAGGAATACCAATGAAACCCATGAGTTGGACAGAGATGTCGTGTCCGATCACATACGCTCGCGAACAACGAAAAGTGGCCCAATTGGCCAACCCTTCGGACACTGAACACATTGAATGACATACGAGTCAATAGTTATAGAAAATACTATTTTTACACAATATATTCATTTCAATTGAGAGAAAGCATCGTTTAAAACATTAAACAAATATTTATTGAATTAATTTTTTGGATTAGTAATCAATTATATTAATAATATTTAAACAATTTTTTGCATTCAACCGAAAAAACAAAAATTTAATAAACATTTTGTTTGATTTAATGAAGTGTAAGTGAATTGAATTTATCAAAAAAGTTAAATATATATTTCATCATGAAATCCGTTATAAAAGGGAATAATTCTTTTATATGTTATATTTCTTTTATAATAACCCAAATGTGATAATAAGTGAACAATTGGTAACAGAATTGAAATTATGATTTCTGCTCAATATTTTTGATTTTTATAAATATTAATAACTTTTTGTACTTTTGATATACAATACAATTCATTACTTAAACCAATTATAGCTTAAGGTTTGAATTGACGTCAAGTTTGAGCCGTTAATCAAATAATAATTGAAAGCAGAAAATGTATACAAATTTATATTGTATTTATATATATGTTCTGAATTGTGTCAGATATGAAACGTATGATAAACATTAAGACATTCTTCGGGTTATACAGCATCACAAGAAATGGTGAATATAATGATTAGATTAGATTTAAAATAAGATTTGTCCTCATATGTTGTACTCGTGCATCGCTTGTCCTAAGGCAAGTGGACCCGTCTGTCCATTAGGCCATGTGATGGTCATGTCTTCTGGAGTGTGTGAGCCGGTGCTCATGTCGTATGAGCCGTTGTTACCATTACTACCCTGTAAATTGTTGTGCCAATAACCGGTATAATCGTAGTTCCAGTTGGCACTCATAGCCTGAGAATTACCCTGTGTTGACATCACAGAACAAGACACTGAAGACTGTAATTACAGATAACAATAAATGATAAGCAAAATATAAATCACTGGTTTGTGAATGCGATGACAATACCTGGTCGTAGTAATAGTCATTTCCGTAGTCACTATTAGACAAGTCATCATTAAGAGCTCCTGAGCTTGAATTAGATCTCCAGTCATAGCAATGTTCGCCATTAGTAGAGCTGGTATTATAGAAATTAGTGGACATGGATTCAGGAGGCATAAGGGATGGCAGTGGGGACCGGATGAATGGCGAATGAGTGCTACAATTGGATGCATAGTCTCCACACATTGAGGAGCTTGTTGTAGTAGCGGCTGACCAGTCGTTATTGTTTTGCATTTGTAGACTAGACTTACAGTCAGTATCATTGAGTGACCATTTATTCATAAGAACTCTATCGATGGTTCTCTGGAAGTCATTTCCGCACTGTTCGAAAATGGACTGCAATTGTGTTGCCGTTAATTCGGGAAACGTTAGACAAAGACTCTGAAAATCACTGATCTTATAGTGATCTGAGCTTTTGATGGCAACACATGTAGGGTTTGGTGCTGTGCCTGAGTTCATGTGTTGCGATACGTGTTCTAATGACTTCCACGGCTGAGTCGCCGAACTTATGGCAGATATATCTGATGAGAGACCAGCGGTTCCGTAATTGGTTGCATCAGAAGAACTGTCCGATGATCTGCTCGCAGAACAATTGGTACCACTTTTACTATTGATATCGTTATAACTGTTGGAAATAGTGGAACTGTCTCCTGACCCTACTGTCCATAACAACACATTAAATAACAATCAGTATTGGTATATAACAAGAGTATGGATCTATTACCGGGTGATTCCGCGCCATTTGAAGTATCTTCTGTTTTGTCTAAGTTTTTCTGAGCTCTATATATGATTGAACGCCTCCTTTAATAAAGTCATAATTACCGGTAAATCATAATTTAAACATAATCTAAATATTAAACAATTCCTAATAAACCATCAAATAAATGTCTAACCAATTGTTGTGATAGATGTTTGACAATAAACAAACAAAAAATAACACAATTTAAAAATAGCTTATCGATTTACACATTTAGAAATAGAGACAATGTTTGCATTTCTTATGTGAAGTTAAATTAACAAGAATACCATATATTATAATAAAATATTAACATTTTTAAAAATTAAATATGTAAAAACACGATCGAGAATATTCTTTACATTGTATATATACTGTGTATATATGTTGAGGTCTATGGACTGTACGTATAATTATTAGCATTTAATTAGCATTTACTTACTTAATTAGAAAGCAGCTGGAGCAAGTACAATTCCGGAAAGGACATTGATGCTGTAGAACTCGGATATCTTTCTTGCCTTTAATCAATGTAATTGTAATGAATATATGAATGTATGTTATGACTGATATAACACTCAATTGATATAAGAATATTAACAAATAGTGACTATTAAAGTGTCCATACCGTGAAACCTGCAGCGGGAACAGGTCGGGTGTTTGCGATTCTTGTTGTGAGCCTTCATCATAATTACTGGTCCTTAGGAACTGACTGTAATTGCAAAGAGAAACTAATAGCATATAAAGCAATCATTATATCGATTATCTTCAGGTGTGTTCTCCAGTCACACACTCAGAGCGCGTGTCTTTCACACAAAGCTTAACATACGAAACATCACTTCAAAATTCATCTCCTTTTCAAATAAATATATTTCAAAAACATTACAATTTAGTAAAAACAGCGTATTTTTGACCAGTTATGTGGGTTTATATAATATAATCATGAATTTAGTTGAATTTCACATAATAAAAAAACAGGACATAAAAAACAGTTTAAATGTTAGGTCACTAGTGATGAACATCAATGTAGTGAATAGAGAATAGAGTGAATGCCAGATGTAGTGTATGTATGTTTGAGAGCGTATGGAACACAACAGTTAACCAGAACTACAGTATATTCTAGAGTAGAGGAGAGGACTTCATTTCATGCATACAACACAACATCTCATTTATATTAAACTGTATGAACGGAAAGCCATCTCAACATTACATAATAACCTTACCTCTCCTCCGATCCCTTCCTAACATGTATTTTATTAATTCTTATTGAGTATCCAATGTATTAGTAAACCGCAAAGTATGAAAGAATAAACTCATTGCAATTCATAAACACAAATGGATATTATAGTGATTGTTAACTATACCGGTAAACACAAATACAGAGTATACAGGGGAGGGAGGAGGGCAGGGAGAGAGAGAGAAAGAAAGAAAGAAAGAAAGAAAGAGAGAGAGATGGAACTGAAAACAAATACTATTTTCACCGATTGTTACTTTAATATATCTAGGAATTGATTAGACCTACCGGTGCTTAAACATGAGAGAGAGAGAGAGAGAGAGAGATTCTGTAATTCCATTGCCATTTTCAGTCGTTTTTCAATTTAAATTTGTTATAAATTAGTGATGCTGTAAATAGGGATGCAATTGTGACTATTTTCAAGGGTAGTTTACTGTAAATTATTATAAATAAGTATCAAGTATAGCAAAATTTAATATATAGAATATTTTATTAAATTGACAGTAAGCCATATATCAAATAATTTATTTAACTAAAAATTAATTTTATTAGTATTGTTCCCAAATAAAGAATTCAACAAATCATTGGTCGCCGATTCAGTGAACGTATCGTTATTGATAGGGGCCATGAAGTTGACTAACTTCGAGTGCACATCGTATCTAATTTTCCTTCCTTTACTGGCCTTTGTGTCCACTTTTCGTTTGATTTTATTCCTCAACTTTTGTATTTCTAACCATTTCTTACTTAAAATCATCGGATCGTTGGATTGACTTCCAGTTTTGGATTCAATCAATTCTCTGAGCAATTGATGATAGAAGTCGTCGTCATCGAAAATCTCTGCGTCCACTTCATTGCCATCACTTTTGTCAATACTTTCCACATTTAATTCATTATCATTTATGGCTTTCTCGTCAATATCTGTCTTTCCGATAATACTATATAAAGATCTCTTAGTTTGCGTTCTTCTTACAAGTCTTTCCATATCAGAGAGAATGCGACCGATTTGTTGAGTAGAGGATTGTTCCAAACCAACCAATGATTTATTCTTAAAGGCATTGGATGTGAATCTTGTCTTTTCATACCATTTGTCTAATAAGTGATTTCTGGTTGAACTCAAATTGCAGTGTCTTTTCGACAGATATTCACAACATTCAGAGTCAGAGAGTTTTCGTTTATTCATAAATCCTGACAAATCATTTCTATTCACACTTTTATCTTCATTTGTTATGTGGTGTTCATTGGTCTCCGAGCAATCATTTTCATCTAAAATGATACTGTTTTGTGATTCGAGAGCAAAATCGATATCAATCAACATTTTTAACAATTTGTGTAGAGATTGTTTCGATTGTTTCACTGAATAATTCAATTTCTTTTCGTCCAAACCTTTTCTTAAATGCTTTAAACAATCAAATTGTGGACATCTATTGCTGTCCATCAAGATTTTGTGTACATTTATTCTGCATTCAAGCAAATTATCCCAAACTAATAATTGATTTTTCAATGCTATTCCTTTCGATATGTCTTCGTTGACATCAATATTCGAGAATTGGTTAATGTATTCATCGCTTCCGTCGCCTGAATTGTGTTCGTCATTCAACTCGTGCTCTTCGTCTTCGTCTTCACTTTCATTACTATTACGACTGGAATCTAAGTCTTCAGACGAAGCGGTCGGAGCTCTTATGTTATCGCTATAGAACTCAGTGTCTTCTCTGTCCTCGAGTTCAATGTCTTGAGAACTGCTATCACTTCCATCACTGCCGTCGCTCTCATCGTTGTCTTCATTCAAGTCTTTGAGTACTTTTCGATTCACTTTAATCCCTGAATATCTAAACATAGAAATCAATAAACATTTAATAATTACAACAAATTGTCATTTCATTAATAAAATCATACCTTTTATTACTATCAGAAAGATTTTCAGTTGTCTTTCGTCTTAACACACTTTGTCTTAAGCCCTCATCTTCGAGATCGTTGTGGCCATCGATGCCGTGAGTTGTGGTGGTATTCAACGCATGGATAGCAGATGTTTCGGTGTGGATGTCATCTTCGGGATCAATAAGTGATGGCAAAGGATTGATAAGATCTGCGATTTGTTGCGACAATGAATTCATGTTTGCATTCAATGACTGAATGACTGATTGAAAGCAATCGTCGAAAGCATGACATTGTGTTGAATGAGTGGACGCCAGTCGTCACCAGTGATGCCATCACTTGATAGCAATGCAAACTCTGTCACCAATACATCAATAAGTGATCACTTCTTCACTTTAATGGTACCAAAAGTGAGTCTTATTTACGCTTTTGTTATAATAATTATCATTAAATTGAATTGAATTGAGTTTGAAATGAGAGACAAAACACATATCATATGTATTGCTATATTCTTCTACTTCTTGAAAACACCGCTTCAAAGGCTTTGCATTCAAAACGAAACACACATTTCATTGTTGAAGAGCTTTGAAATAATAGCATCGCTTAATAGGATCGGGGTATCAATGAATGAGGGAATGGGTGTATGAATTACTGTACGTGAAGGTGGTCTTAGTTGGGGTAACCATATTGTTATGAATGAAGTGATGGTAAATTAGAAAGGCATGCATTCTGGCCATGGATTAAGTTGGCATTTCATAAGATTAAAGTTTTGAATCAATTGACAAAAGACTGTGTCCTCTAATGCATGAGAAGGCGATTGTGGATCTATTAGTTGATCCCAATTCTCATGAATGGCAGGTGTGGTAAGGGATGCGAACAGGGATTGAATGAGTGCTAAACAACTTGAGTTAATCTTGAGTTTAATGCCATTCCGACAGCACTACAGTACAGAGCAGTTGTTTATTTGTATGAAATGATAGTCAATGTAATCGTCCCTTCATTTCCCTCTCTATACTTCTTAATCCAATTGCTTTCATCCGGACTTAGCGTTTGTTTTCATACACTATTGTTATAACTGTCCCATTGAGAGATCGCTCATTCACTTCTTCACTCATAATCATAACCCGTAAATCTCTCTCTCTCTCTCTCTCTCTCTCTCTCTCTCTCTCTCTCTCGCATGTTTAAGCACCGGTAGGTCTAATCAATTCCTAGATATATTAAAGTAACAATCGGTGAAAATAGTATTTGTTTTCAGTTCCACTTTATTTGTGAAATAATAATCCGTTTTATGATTTTGTACTGAATTTACAAAATTTATTATATTTTGAAAGTCAATCGATGAGAGAATTGTATAAGAATTTATGTGTCATATTCTGTATTCATTATCACATTTTATGATCTTTGATAAAACAACAAATATTTGTGGTATTCTATAGAATGGCAGTGTCACAAAATTGTGTACCATGTAGTTTCATTGGATAGATTTTGGTCAATAACTCGGAAACATTGAGCTAGGTCAACAAAAAGTTGTCCCGTGATTCTATTGTTTAAAAAAAATGTTGACTATAAGTTATAGTCTATAACTATAAAAACATATTCGCTATACATATCCCGCTTTTTACACAAATTTTCTTCATCTATATTGAAAAGTGGATTCTACTGTATATTCCAATTATATATTCCACTTATTCAACAAAATACTTGATATACAATAAAAAATAATTATAATTGAATTGCTTTTAGTTTTTGTCACTAAATGAGCGCTCTTTTGCATCACAAACATTTCCTACACACGAAAGGATAGTTAACTACTGTATTGCCAAAACACAAATCCTATGTCTAATATGTAATCATTGTTATGAAATTGATTGCCGTATCAGTTCAGAGACGGCGAAGTATAAAAACGAGAGAGAGAGAGAGAGAGAGAGAGAGAGAGAGAATTTTTAAATATAATGAACGAAAGCAATGAGAATGAATGCATACCTTTAGCTGTAGAATCGGGTGAAACCGATGCAATACTCTTTGCTTTTGGATAATTGTTTGCTTTGACGTACATTTGATGAGAGAGAGAGAGAGAGAGAGAGAGAAGTGAATGAGCGATACGTTGCATTATGAATGGTTGTGTGAGTGAAAAGATCGGGTGGTGTTTGATGGCAATGATGGCAATCCTATAATGCCATCACAACTACAATATTCACTCGAATAAGTTTTTCGGAACAATTGTCTCTCATATACTGTAATTGCATTCCTTTCATGCAATTCCTGGACTCGTATTTCCTTTATATCAAACATTTTCAGCTAATAATCATTTGTATCTAAAGACAAAAATGTTATTATTCTTTAAATCCTAATTTATAAGCTGTAAGTAAAAACTGGTGAACAGATACTATGTAAGGGACACACAGGGCGTCCAAATGATAAAAAACAGTTAAATTAAAATTAATTATACTTAAATAACCCACCGCTAAAACATGAGTATTTGATTTGGCAATAAACTTGATTTGCATTTCACTGAATTATGAGCGAAAAAGTTGGCCAAAAGAATATAAGAATTCTTTTTTATTTTCCATAAAACTGCAAATTCTATCCAATTATTGCGTTTGTATTCTCCTATTAAATAGAGAGCTACGGCACACAAATTCTTTGCCCGTTTTGGGCTATAAAAACTTTGATATATTCTTTACTAATCGATTGATTATTAATAATTAATGCCTAATGAGTTACCCAACAATTTTGTATATGAATTTGTATATAAATAAATTTTAACACAAAAAAATAAAATCTTTAGTAATAAATCTCATGTATAATGAATTTTATTTAAATAAAGCGAAGATTATGTTTAGATTACAATTGTTATAATACACATGTGATTAATGAAATTATCAATGAATTATATCCAATGAATTGGTAGAATGATAAAAGTCTGGATGTGAGCCAATGTGTTCACTCTGATGGTCGGTGTTTTGATCGGAAGTGTTGGACTGTTTGGCAATGAGCGCCTGTTCCTTCTCCTGATGCTGTTTACGCCATTTGATTCTTCGGTTCTGTAATACCATAACTGTTTAGTTGATGTCTCAATGTATTGCATGTATTGTATGTGTTTTACCTGAAACCACACTTTCACTTGTGCTTCAGAAAGATTGAGAGTTGAGGCGAGATATAGTCTTTCGGGTCCAACCATATACTGTTGCTTTTCAAACTGTGTCTCGAGTTTGTCCAACTGTTCCGGAGTAAAGATGGTTCGCACTCTCTTAGACTTGGGTTGACTCCCAGAATCGTCTCCAATGAGTCTATCGTCTAATTTAACTCTTGAGTTGAGGTCGCAATCAATACTTCTTTTATTAACTTTCAGATGAATTGATAAACTTTTGTTCTTTCGCTCATTAATTGGAGATGAATTCAATTCTATGGGATTTATTTGATAAATGAATTATTTTATTGGTTTTATGAAAGGCTATCATATAATTGATTTAAAGGACTACGGTTTCACTTGAATAGGCCTCTAAAGCGCTAACTTTGGCCTTATTTTAGGCAAACGAATGCCGATTTGAATTGTAAGGCATTTAATAAAACGACAAAAAGTGGATCGAATTGAAGGGATGTTAACAAAAGAGAGGGAGAAAGCAATCATTTGTTGTGACAAGTGATGTCTCATAAGAATGCAAACCATAGCAGAGGGTCTGCAGTGTTTGTAAATCATTGCAATAAAAGTCATGTCATATTGCGATACAGTATTGGGAGTGATATTGCATTCATGACTTAATTGCATTCCAATCCCCGTAAACGCCATCATATTATCATTGCATTCATTTCTATTTGCTGTCCTATAGTTGTGTTTAAAACTTATCTCAAAAATAGCTCAAAATCTTTCCACAACTAATTGCCAGTTTAATAGACGTATAATAAAATTTAACAGTAAAAAGTCACACAATTTATATGCAATTATTTATAAATCTCTCTCTCTCTCTCTCTCTCTCTCGTGTAAATCACATTCATTGCTTTGTTCCGGGAATTGATTGCAATTTTCTAAGTTTAGCTTTTCTACGAGAAAACGAAAGCATCAATAAAAGTATTAAAAAACTAAACCCGAGACCAATAGTGTTGAGGTCGAGGAGACAACAATAGTATTGATTATTGAATGCAATTGTGGACTCGAGTAGTGCAAGTGTGGGGACTGGGGGACTGGGTTACCGTCTACAGTATAGACTCTATACTGTACACTGGGTTACCGTCTATACTATACTCTGGGTTACCGTCTATACTGTACTCTGGGTTACTGTAATTTCAAGTTTTGATAAAAACGATTGCACGTCAATAAAGAGGCTCAGAATTAGAGGTGATTGCTTCCACTGTAAGCACTCTTTGCTTTTTTTAGCTCAAGGAAAGTGCTTAAGACAGGACAGGAGAGGACCAGTGGGTCACAAGTCTTTCTATTCATTGCTCGTTAATTAGCAAATGAATTGAATTACAATTTGAATATATAATTTAACAAGTTTTTAAATATAATGAACGAAAGCAAGAGAATGAATGCATACCTTTAGCTGTAGAGTCGGGTGAAACCGATGCAATACTCTTTGCTTTTGGATAATTGTTTGCTTTGACGTACATTTGATGAGAGAATTTTTAAATATAATGAACGAAAGCAATGAGAATGAATGCATACCTTTAGCTGTAGAATCGGGTGAAACCGATGCAATACTCTTTGCTTTTGGATAATTGTTTGCTTTGACGTACATTTGATGAGAGATATATTCGGGCCTATATTTAATGCCACTGAAGTTGTATTGATTGCAATCTTGAGCCGAGAGGTAGTTATTATTTGGACGACTATTGATGCCAAGTATAGCTTCGATAGAGAAGGAAGATTTGGATGAATCACTTTCGGGTAATAGTTTTTTGGTCTCATTGTTGGACACATTGTTGTACTCATTGCTTGAGATGGTAAGGGAGGGTACGTGTGGTCTGTTGTGACCGTTGGATATCATATTCTCATAGAAAGTATTCAAATTAATGAGAGCTGCCGTCCGATTAGTATTGCTTTCCATTTGATAGCCAGGGATGCGATTGCTGTGAAAGGCATTGTGTTTGTTGTGTTCGCTTACGTCTAAATACAGCGGATAAGAGAGACGATACGACATCATATCAAACACGAGTTGGCGTTTGGCTGGAGTTGTGTTGAGAGGAGTTGGGATGAGTTGCGATGAGTTGTGTTTGCAAACTGAAGAGTGAATGCAAGTGAATGCACACGACTTACACACTTGTCTGATGCAAAGTGAGGACTTGACGGCCACTTCTTGATAGCAACGACAGGAGTACCACAAAAGAGGAACCGCTCCGGAGCTGCACTTGTCTCCAGTTGTCAGGTCTGCGATCCTTTATGACTCCCCACTGAGTCCTACTGAGCAGCGAATTAGGCGCTGACGTCTCCGCACAAGATTTCATTATATGGTTCGCAACTTAAAAGCCTTGACATGAAGACACTCCTACTGGAGGAACCGGACAACTGCTCAAACACTACACAAACACGACTTAACATTTTCCCTACACTTCTTCCTATTGTAAGCGAATATAACGGATAATACCTTATATGCCAGGGATGTGATCGCAAACTCCTTTCACATTATTATTGAATAATCCTATCAATAGTCCTCTCATCATAAGTCTAGATGGAAATAATCAACGTTCATAAGAAACTTGATGTCCATTTGGCATCATATGGTATATAAGTATCATATCGTTATTGGCTCTCATCTCAAATCAATGTCTAATATATCATAAGATATTACATTATTTGAGTTATGAATTACTCGAGTGTATTGTGGATAACATTCACTGCGATCTCAAATATGTTATTAAAAATCCAAACTAAACGACAAAAAATGATTTTTCCATAATTGATGTGTTTTGAAGCGAATAAATACTTGGCAACTGATATATTATATTACAGACAATGGTTGACAATATCGGGTGAACACTATATATATTTGCAATATATATAAATTAGAAATGCATTATAAATGTTTAAATGTTAGCCCAAAGACACACAAATGTACAGTAAATGGACAATAAATGCATTGATATTTTATGGGAGAATTGTATTGTATTGATAAGTTAGCGGTGTTTTGTGGGACAGGTATTTACAACACTTTCAATAATTATTACCGTTTTTGTCATTTGCAAAAGAAATGATGGTTTGAATAATTGTGTATTTCGTTTCCCACGCCTTAATTGTCAACTGATTAGAAGTGAGACATACTTTTGAGACCAGTTATGACTCTCTGGTTCCCGGGGAGGACTCAAGGGTGCTATAAAAGGTTTGGTGCCTTCAGCTGATGGCCAATGTTTAGATGATGACCCATATTAACGAACATCAATAAACATCACCATTTGAACCAACATTTTTGTATATGTTTCCAAACTATGCAAACTTGGTTTACAAACAGAGCACCGACAGTGAGGCCACACACGCTAACATACCGTACCAAACGTTACCTTCATTTCTCAAAATAATGAAAACTTTGGGCTAATTATAGCTCTTTCACTATAGGACCCAGAATGAGATGTGCAGTCGTGCTGTGCTTTCAATGCGATTATATTATTATTATATTATTGTTGAATACTTTCTAATCTCTATCACAGCCTAACAATACAAACGATACAATTTGTTTGAATTATGCATTTTTGTAATTAATTCAGTTTATAGCTCAACGATTAACTGATGGCACAAACCTATCAAGTCTTATGCTCTCCGGAATCAAAGCCTTTGCTAACGTTAGAAGAGCTGCTAGAATGGGATTGCAGTGACATTTGCCGATCAGATCAGTCGATGTCATATTCAATATGCGAATTGCAAACTCATAAAACACATGCAAAGAGTGGATCGAAGACATTGCTATGTCATGACATGAAAGGCGGTTATTTAGATGACAGGTTTGCAAAGTTGTGAAATTAAGCGCCATATGATGGCCCGTATCATTCATTTCTCACTAACCGTTGCTTTTAGATTCAACAGCGGGTGCGCTAACGAAACCGCCTATAGGTCTGCCGCTAAACTACTTTTAATTAATGCCTTTAAACTAATTGACTCTAACTTTGAATTCAGGTTTTTCTTGTGGTCTTCAATTGATGTCTTCGTGTATTTCAGGTAAACATAAATGTCTCATAAATTTAAATAATTAACATTTCAATCATTTTTAGTCACAATTTTATTACAATACCACCGATTACTTGGATTAATGCCAGCCATAAGAACGGAGTAAACATTTGCAATTAATTGAACTTGATATTTGAAATATTTTTAACTTTAATATAACTGCAAAATAGGTTCCCATATTAGGGACAATTATCGTTGAGGGCTGGAGTCAGACAAACACTATATGCGATCAAATGCTAAAAAGCAGAGATGTCATTAAGAAAGTGGTTGTAAAACTGGTGGACATCTCAAAGTACTATCACTTTATGGGTTGGCTTATAAATATTGAATGTCCCGTCAGTTCCGATTGCATTGAAAACCTCGTTTATTTCGTCAAATTATTGACCGATTCTATGCACTCTTGTCTCCCAAAAAGGTTTACTTTTTATTATACTAATTATTAATCTATTGGTGTTTTGTTACATATTATATCATTTTCTCTCTTTCATTCTTATACATGTATTATAAGGTACTAAAATATAATTTGGATTAGTCTTACGATTAGTCTTGGATTAGTTAGTATTCGTGACACGCTCACGCGTGATTCACGCTCACTCACTCGTGATCGTGAACATTTTTACTGATACTGTGAGTAGCGTTGCCAAATTATATTTTGAAAATATATGAAAATATAATGCCTGTATTTTTCAATGTACTGGAAAATTTCTTTCTGTATGTTTGGCAACGCTAACTGTGAGTGTGATTCACGATTGAAATGTTCTCGCCTTCACTTCTAAGTGAATGTGAAAAATTGTTTTCGTGAGCGTGATGAAAAATGTTGCAAATTACCAACACTAGTTAGATTTAATAGCGATGCTAATTATTTCAAAAATGTAGATTTGTATTATTTTAGATAATTTATTTGAAAGCAATTAATGCATGAATATTATAATAGAGTAAAATATAAGTGAGTATATAGTATTGTATACAATATACTGTATACATACTGTACTGTGGAGTGCATGTCGAGAATCGAGTGTGTGCAGAATCGAGTGAAAGCGGCTTTTAGCATAAACTCACATTACGTTATATTCTAAACATAATAGAACATGGTACTATAACATGGTAATAGAGCACAAAATGCTAAAATATAATTACCAGGAAATTGCATTTAACTATAGCAACTATTTTTAACAGTTAATATGATTGCCCACAGACTCGGGATGTGAACCGATCATGTATTGGAGACCAGTTTACCGAAAGTTTATTTTGACTATATTTAACTATATTTAACTATTTCGTAAAATAGAGTGAATTTTAGCGCAGAAACAGAAATATTTGAGATAGAATTGAAACAAAAGGGTTTTAGTGCTAAACATAAATATAAAATGAAAAAAAAGAGAAATACAGTCACGAGTTTTGGTTATTGCTTTTAAATAAATGTAATCATTTGCAATAGAATTGCATTTTTATTTAAGTGATTTATGCAAATTAATAATTAGATTGCATAAATCATATCCATAATGAATTAAAAAATAATATCAAACAACGTAAATTTTTAAAAATGAACATTGTATTAGCAAATTCTGTTGACTTATTATGGTAAAGGATTCCGTGTGCCCACAGTATACAGTATGTGTGCACATATTATTGTCCCTAATGTGAGTCCTTTAAAAGTAGAGCCCATAGAAGTGTTTCGTGTTTTAAAACGAGGTTTATATGAGGGCTTCTTATATGCATTAACAGAATCCCGAATATAAATGGGACAAAGTTTAGTATTAAACCCAATTCTTGTTGTCTGTTTGTTTGTATGTCGGCCTCTCTTTACCAGTGGCTCTCTTACACTGTCGGCCTCGAGTAAGTGTCGGCACGTCAATCAGTCAGTCAGCGAGAGAGTGAGTGCGAGAGAGAGTGCGAGAGAGAGAGAGAGAGAGAGAGAGAGAATTGGTGAGCGAGGTGAAATTGGTATACAGTATATAGTGGGGGCACTATATGGCTATGTATGAGATTTACAGCTTTTACCATTTATTGTTATTATTAGAGATAGCGATGGGAAGGATGGGAGCCATATATTAAGCAGTAGTGATGAGAAAGAAGTTAATGTTGATGTATACCAGAAGCACAATGAAGTGCAATAAAATATAATTATGACATATGATTATGATTTAGCATTAGGTTTAATATTATAATAATCAGGCGTACAATACAAACACATTTTTCTCAACATTCTTATTAAAAATCTTTTGGCAAATATATTATTTGATTGCATTTTGCTTCTTTGATATTATATCTCCTAATAACTAGTCATTCAATTAAAGTTTAAGGCTTTAAAAGTTATGTCAATTAAAATTTATTCACTATTTGAACATTAAATTTAATAAATTTACTAAAATATAGTTCTTTGCAAATTGTTATACAGTATTTATGCTGGGATTTGTTGTGCTCACAATCGTAAGCAGGGTATCTCTTTTGCACTGTAATGAACACAGAATTAATTAATTGTTGTTTATATTTAAAATTAGAAAAATTATAAATAAATATAAACATTTGATATACTGATTGTGAACACGTTTAATGCTAATGAATGTTTGTATTGAAAGTTTGGTCATTTGGTACGACAGTGTGATCAGCCCCGGGGGTGAACTCAAGTGGCAAAACGAATTGAATTGCAATAATTGGTGTTTCTTTGATGCTTGCGATGCAATCTTCTTGAACTACACCTGGAATGAGACAAATCTGAAGACATCCTATGAAAGGGCTCATCAAATGCGTCGAAATTATGATGTCTTCGTAGGCATTGATGTCTTCGGTCGCAATTGTTTTGGCGGCGGAGGTCTTCACACAAATCTAGCGGTTCGGGAGGCACTCAAACACGAGCTCTCAATAGCCTTATTTGCGAGCGCCTGGACTCACGAAGTGTTGGGTTATGAAAACTTCACGAACAATGAATACCTATTTTGGTCTTTATTAGACTTAGGAGTTCATCACTTTCCACAAACATTTCCTATCTATACTTCATTTTGTCAGGTCTTTCACATTATTGTCCAAATTTTTGAGCAATCAATTTATAATTCCTGACTTTCATCTTATTTAGGGCTTTGGACTCAAAATGTATAAAAATGGACAAATCAGTAGTGAAAACAAGTGGCATAACTTGAGTGAACAGGTATTTAAACCCAGCATTGAACACAATTAGTGTTGTGCCAAACATAAGAAATCTCATACAGGAATTTTCACAGAATACAGAAAGAAGTTTTCCTGTAAATTGAAAAATACAGGAATAAATATTTCAAAAATAAGCTGTAATACAGGAAAATACAGAACCTTTTTGTAATTTTCTCACATTTATGCAGTTTTTTCAAAATATTATTTGGCAACGTTAAACATTGTCTGGTGCATGACTAGTCTTGGTGTTGACCCTGTTTAGTATATGCCAGATATAGATTTACAGTGTACCATAAAAAAAGGTCGAGGCTTGTCAGCATTAGTCGGTGTAAACGTCAATTTAAGTTTCTTAATAGTAGGTTATCTTAACTTATTTTGAACAGCCCCAATATGATGACAGCACTTTGTTATACTTAAGCCCTTTATAATAAAAATGAAAACTTTTTATAAAAGTATAAGTTATAGAAAGACATTAGTAATGACGAAAGGGTTGACAAAAAATAAGTGATTTTAGGGAAGTTAAGAGATCTATACTTAATAGCCATGTTTTAGTGTTTTGTCATAACTGAATGTACGCTAATTTTTAATTAAAACTTTGAAATATAACTTTAATACTGAGTTTGACATTTGGTTATACTACTCCAACTTCCAAATAGTGAGTCGGTTTGACATTTATAATTTAGACTACAATTTTAAAATTTATAGTAAATTTTCACAAAAATGAAAAATTTATATATTTTTTAACTCGATACTTTTATTGATATGAAATATTGTAAAAAGCTATTCAAAGCGTCTAATTTTAAAATTTATTTTTCAAATAATGTAAGAAAGTGCTTTCATTCTCTAAATATTTATTAGAATTATTTCAGATTCTTGAAAATGGTGTATATATTTGTGAGCAGACCGTCGATTCTTTGGCAATTACCCAATAAATCTTGTTAATAAAAACAGTAATTAATATACCATTAGGTTTTTAGGTCATAATAGGCATAAAATGTTACACTTTTATGATCACAATTTTGACATTCTTGAAAATGGAGTGGTTTTGAAATAATAATGAGCGTCAGAGCACACAATACTATTAGGGTTATGATTGTAATATAATTAATGATATTAATAATGTTAATATAAATGGTATGATTATTGTTAGGAATTGCAACCAACAAATCACAAATCAGTTGAGGTATACATAGAGGAGGCGTTCAACGGCGGCGGTTGTCTCCGATTAACAGACACTTTGGTTCATCTCTTTGAATGCGAGATAATGGTGGAGAAGAAGTGTTTTTATGCCATTACTTACAAATCCATTTCCAATCACAAGTTGAACACAATTTTCAAATACCAAAATGAAAACAATGAAAATGAAAACAAAGCATTAATTTTATTCGATAACGAATCAGAAAATAAAGACTTTTTCATTCAATACATTGAGTAAGTAATGAAATAACGACAATAAGAATCTATTAGTAATAATATAATTGTAAATAAATAGTATTAATGAAAATCGAGATAATGATGAGTTAAGGAAATTCAGTAAATTTGGTATATTTGAAGCCAACAACGGGTGGACTACTCTGGCATTTATTATACAGAGTAAAAGTGATGACTTCAATACAATTGTCAAAAGCATTGAACTCAATGTTTGCCATCAAATAGAAAACAATGTCATCGATGTCTTAGTCGGACAATTGGTTTGTTTCCAATTAAAACAATAATTTATTAAATTTATATATTTTTAAACAGATATTCGACACCATTTGAAAAGCTATGGAATGCCTTTTAATCACTTAAATCTAATTAAATAAAACAAACATTATTTGAAATCGACATTTGAATTGAATAATCAGTTGTGAAGAATCATTTCATAGACTTGATATATAGCAGGCGCGACATCCATAGCCCGCGACTTCAACGATAGTGTGAACTTCGGGTTCCCGGGCTGTACCTTAAGCTCTGCCAAAAGCCATATATTATTTGTCAATTTGAGTGACTGGTAGAGCATGTCTTGTCCCTCAACGTTACGCTTTGCAATCGTAAAGATATTATTAGTTTGAAGTTTTTGTGAGACCTGATCCACATTCAGCATAACGTTGTCGATCACATATTGCACTTCATTCTGAGAGGGGATATCCTTCCAAGTGGCCAGAAATACTCGCTTATCCATCGCTCCCTCTTCTGTGCAGAAGACATGCGTCGGAACAATGCAACTAAAATAGAAGACATCCACGTTGTTCTTAATGGCCACCTGAAGGCTAGTCAACGGTTCCATCTTCTGAACGGCTCCCATCGTATTCAACTGAAGGCTCACATCGCATGATATGTTCGGATGCAAAGGTGTGGGCACTTGAAGGGGTTGTGCCGGTCCTAAACCAAAGCTATTTTTGTTGAATTGTATGGCAAAACCTCCCATCGCTTGCATCGCTTTGTTACTAAAAGTCATATCCATACAGATCTGTCCGTTTCGTCGCGTAAACGTTCCCGTGATCTCCAATCCTTTGCCCCGAACTGCCGGCAGCCATACCTTTGGTTCACAACAATTAGTTTAAAATCACTTAATTATTCAGTTATTGACGAACCTGTTTGGGAGGCGTATAGAAAGCGCCCGAAGCAGGCATTCCAAAGATGTCTCCCAAAAGTCCAGTCGATGACAATTGAGATGTAGAGGTGGCTGTCATTTGCGGCCCAATACCACCCAAATCAGGTCCGCCGAGCAAACTATCGAGACCTCCGCCCAGTATATCGACGTTGGAGTTGGAAATGGGGGCCGAAGTGAAATTAGTGGGAGGGGTCGGCGTAGAGATATCTAAACTCAATAGATCTCCAATCAAACTATCAGCGGCTGGAATGACAGTTGCCTGCGGGGGCTCCGAGTGATTGGTTTCCTCAGAACCTGTTCGGGCCGGTAGTGAACGTCTCAATTGGCCGGTCCTTCCCTCCACAAAAGCTGACGGCGGCTTATGATAGACAGACGCGAGACTTCCGATATGACAAATTAGTTCATCCAAAAGAGTCGGTTCCAACAGATCTGTCTCTTCAGATATCAATGGCTTCTCAGCCAAAACCACTTCCTTAGCGGCGGCCGGATCTGTAGATAATAAGCGCCAATAAATGAATCCTCGGTCGCGAAGGTCAGGATTGTCGCTGTCCTGTGTGGCCAAACTGAGCACTTGTTGGACCAGTTCTTGTGTTTCTGTGGGACGCTTGAGGAACAGCTTCACGATAGCAGTGAGGAGTTGGAGCTGAACCTGACTGTTCTCGTCGTGAAAGCCTTCGAGAAAGCTCTCGAGTAATTCGTCCGCATTATCAATACGTTCTGCGTATTCACCGATAATCCATATCATCGAAGCTCTCGCTTCCGGTTCGTCCAAAGTGTCCAAATTCTCGCAAAGAGTAGATATAATGCTCTCGTATTTGTTGGGATATTTGCGGAAAATGTCTTTAATAACGACAATCGCCTCCTGAACCACATAATTGACTTTCGTTTGAATCAAATCCAAAAGAGTAGCGACACATCTCTCGGCCGATTGTTCCACTTTTATGGCACAGCGACCGATAGCTCGCACAGCCTTTCGCACAAAATCCACGTCTACTTCAGTGGCGTATTCTTTAAGTTCTGCCAAAACCTGAGCGATGTTTGCTTGAGAGGCCAGTCGTATCATAATATCCAACTTTTCCAGCTTTACATAAATCGGATCATTATATTTGACAAAAAACACTTTCATCTCGTGCTTCAAAATATCGGGTCGTTTTTGAACAATTAGATTAATGTTACGCAACGCCACGTATTGTACTTCCGGTTCACTGGACAGCAGTGTAACCAAAGGAGGCGCCAATTTCTTGGTTAAAGTGATGACAAACTCCGAGTCCGCGGACATCATTTCCATGAATTTCATGAGTGCTTTAACAGCACTCAAGACAACGGCTGCGTTGGCGTGCGCTAAACGAGGGGTCACTCTCTCGCATATGCTTTGGGCCTCGCGATCATCCTTTGGGGTATAACTGGACAGTGAGTCCAAAATGAAGACTTGACCCCATTCTGTGCACTCATTCAATGCCGTCAACAGCTTATTAATGGTCTGCGCGTTGAGTTCGACTAAAGGGTGTCCAGTACTGGAAGCCTCGTTGATCTCAGAGAGAGCGGCCACAGCATTGGCCACAACCATAGGGTTCGAGTCCGACAAGAGGTCACGCAATAGATCTAAGAATCCCTGTTCTTCTACCAGCTGTGCGTTAATGTCGTGCAGTTTCGCGACACAAACAGCAGCTGTTTTGCGGACATACGGGTCTTCATCTCTCAAACATTTGCGAAGCGGTTCACACAGATATTCAGTGATCTTATCGACACGTATGCAACCCATTGTCCGGACGGCCAACGCTCTGATCAGAGGATTAGGGTCTTCGCAGTCGCGGACAAACGTATTGACCGCCATTATAGCCATATCGGGCTGACTCTTGGCGTAGTTCATGAGATAGAGATAAACCAATTTCTTGAGCTCTAAGTTATCGGTTTGCATGCAATTGACGACATCGGGGAACAGTGCCGACACATCTTTGCCAACAGTCATCGATGCGATCACTTTCTTCACCGCTTCCCTCCTCTTCTCCTTCTTGTCTGAATTGAGTTCACTCTTCAGCTCAAAGATCTCTCCCTTCTTAGTGTTGGCGAAGTACTTGGCGTCAGTCATCTTCGGTCACTCTATAGCTATACACCATTCAATACATTACAATCAAGTCATCGATGCTATCGCTAGTCATCTCTAGTCATGGTTTACCTCTTAATTGGATCCAAATGTGAGTCAATGGTGTGTTTGAGTGAAGATGTGATTGAAATGACAACAAATTGTAAATCGCTTTCAAATCAATGTTAGAGTGAATGCAAAGTGAGTGCAAAGCAAAGCAAACGCCCTATACTTACACTACAGGCATAACCACTACAGAGACACCTATTGAACACATGTTCACTCTTACCATCTCTTCATCTCTGGCTTCACTTCAACATCACTTCAACACATCCAACGATGGCATCGATTGTGTCCACTGTTTGTCGGTTTCGATGTTTTAATCATTTTAATGTGAGACCAGTATTGAAACAATTGGATAACTCATTGAAACAACGGTTAGTTTTGTTGAGTATTTCAATGAATCCTAAATTATATGATTGTATAATAAGTGGTCAAAGAAAATGTGTTTCAAACGAACCGTACAAATGTTGTCTACATTTTGTTGACATTTCTAATGCATTTCAAGCGTTTGAAGTGAACACAAATTTGACACATTTATTGCATCATTCAATGATTGAATGCATTTATCGTTGATTTAATAGCAATTGATTTGATTTAACATTTGTTTTCAGATCACTGTTTGGCGTGAAGTCGTCGTCCAGTGATTCCCAAACACAACAAAACACTAATGAAAGCACTGAACAAAACACCGGCAAAGAAGACAATGAGTTATTGTCGCAAATGAAAGAAGAAAACAAAAAATTAGTTGATTTGGTGGCAGAAATCGACGACAAATACAAGAGATCTTTAGCCGACGCGGAGAACACACGGATCAGAATGAGAAGACAAGTGGAAGAGGCAAAGATTTATGGCATTCAAGCATTTTGTAAAGATCTGTTAGATGTGGCCGATGTGTTGCACACAGCCATCGATTCAGTTCCCATCCAAGCCATCACTCATGACAATAGTGAACAAAACAAAGCCCTTAAATCTCTGTATTCAGGTCTTCAGATGACTGAAAAACAGTTACAAAGTGTCTTTAAAAGACATGGATTAATACAAATGAATCCAATCGGCGAGAAGTTTGATCCCAATTCACATCACGCGCTCTTCGAAGCTGTTGTGGCCGACAAAGAGCCGGGAAGTGTGGCTACAGTTACCAAAGTTGGCTACAAATTGCACGAAAGAACTATTAGACCCGCAATGGTTGGCGTCGTTAAGGCCAACAATTAGTACTTTCATTCAATTACTATCAATTAAAATCATTATTTTAGTCAATATTTGATATAATCTTTGAATAAAATGTTTTAAGAGTTAATATTGTATACAATAGCGTCTGATTTTGTCAACAATTATGGTTTAAAAAATCCTAACAGCATATCGAGGCATAAGAGAGATATGCTATGCTATGAGTTTCCACATGTAATCAATGTTATATTGCATTGATTATGAAAAATTGTGCCAATTATATGATAATTACAACGTTTCGGTCAAAGATTTTTAGCCAATAGTCAAAGTGTTTTATTGTTTGTTTGTAAACACATTTAGTGGTTTGTAATCGCTTTTTGGACCAATTTATCCTTTAACTCGTTGTTTTCTTTGGTCAAAATGGTTATTTTGTTTTGACAATCGTTTAATTCTTCTTTAATTTTCTGAAACAACCAAATGATATACAGTATAATATTTATCAATATTTTATACAATATTTGGAGTATGTGTAAATTAACATAATTTTAATGTGTTATGTGAATGTATTTGAAATTAAGCGCTTCAAAGCGAATGCTAATATTTGTGGTCAATTTGAATGATTCAAAATAATTGTTATCAAACTTACATTCAGGTGATTTGTCTTAATATTGAGTTTATGTCTGGTATTAGTCAATAGTTGAGCCAATTGTCGCGTTTGTCTTAATCTATCCAATTGTTGCATCAATTGTTGGTTTTGTTTTTCATATTCTTCTAAAATAATTTGCTTTTTTGCCAATTCTTTGCATTTTGAAAGAACCAGTTTCTGGAGGACAACACTCTTGTGATTGAGTTTGTTTGGGCTGTGATTTGCATTATTATGTGCTTTACTTTCAAACTTATTAACAATATTCACATCTCTTTTGTCCACATTTACAGCATTATTCTTATGACAAATTTGTTGACCATTTAATGCATTTTCGGTTTTAATTAACTCTTTATTCCGTTTTCTGTTGTCATTTGAAATTTTTGATATGAATACAACTTTTAGTTTAAGTTCAGTCTTAACACAATTTAACTCTTTTTGAATGTTTTTAACGCGATTTTCAGCCAAAT